GATAATCTTAGTTCCCGGTGTGGGCTATGAATGAACGTTACATGTGTAGTTTTTCCCGGGCTCACAAATTCGATAGAGAACGCCTACACTAAAACCTATACATAGAATGTTACCTAGGGTTTACTACCAAGGCCGTAAGTGCGGGCTACTAGAGTACATCACATCGCTGTACCTCGAATACACCGCTGATGAAAGCCCGTCATTGTCAGCGAGCTTCTTAAACTCCGCAAAGTCGTCCTCCTTCGCCAGGTCCGCGCACGCCGCCTGGAACTGAGCGGCCGTCAGGCCGCCGCCTTCCGCACCCCCCCCCCTGCCGCGCCCAGCGTGCCGCAAGCAGGCGTCCCGCACCACTTTCACGTGTGTCTCCACTGCCAATGCGTCTTTCACTGTGGAGGGCAAGGAGGGAGCGGGGGGGGGGTCTGCTGTCTTATGTGGTACTTATGGTAGAGCTGTGGTGCTTGGGTGTGATGCCGTCTTTTGTTGCGCTACTGCAAATGTTTTGGTTTTTGGCTAGTCTATATAACAACAAATACCGAGGGAAGAGGGGGGTGTTGTCTTCAAGTGCTGGTACCTCCCTGACTATTTGGTGCTTGGTTGTTCAGGGTATCAGGAAGGGCATGCTGTCTTATGCGCAACTTGGCTTTTCGACAACAGCTGCGTAAGGAGGAGGGGTGTTCTTTTAACTGATTGGGTGGCGGGTGCATGATTTCACTTCACCACTGTCAGCACTATCGTACGGGCACCACCTTCCAGACTGAGCACTACAATACAGCAGTCCCCAAACAGAGCCACTGCCACACATACTTATGGCGAACTTCATTTCAGGGTTCCACCAAACCGTGCATGCACGAGAACACCTCGCTTATCTATCCCGGTCCGAAACGAACACGAAATGAGCATGTACTTCACAAGCAGAGTGATGCTACGGTAGGGGGGTCGCCTCATCCTACACTTTCGAGTAGGGAGACAAGACGCACTCTTAGTTAAACCTGTTGGTTGCAACGTTCCGATGTAGGATCGCCGGAACAGGACTACTACTCGTTGTCTCCCAAAATAATCCTTCTACACGATTTCACCCGAAAAGTGCCACCCCCTACCGTGTGGACGTTGAAGAACAGGCAACGGTGGAAGCTCTACACCCGACTACAGGCCTACCTTGGAACAGAAAGCCTCCGCAAGGGTTAGAGATCCCGGCAGCCTGCGCCGCCGCTTCTTGCGCCGCCCTCTTCCTCTTCGCCGAGGGGGATGTCCCGTACAGATGTCGACACCGCCTCTCGAACGCCTTCACCTGTACACAGGAAACCCGCAAGAAGCTAGGTGACATGACGAAAAGGTATCACACCCCTTGCACGATCGATTTTCTCACAGCTCCGCTACGGCGAGTATGCGTGAGTCAAACCATGATGCCTTCTCGGAAAGCAAGTTAGACGGTTAGGACGCAACCACGATTGTTGGCAACGTCACTCTTTCCGCTGTGGAGGAAATCGAGAACTTGAAAATCAGTACAGGGGGCGTACTTGCTTGTAAAGGTTGGGAAATATGATCGGAGGAGTGTACCGTTTTATTATCGGAGGTCAAGGTTGGGGTAGTTGGTCCGTGACCACGGAAGGCGTTCGTTTCAGTTGGACCAGTACGGGTGCTAGAAGGTACTGAGTAGAGACCGGGGCATGAGTATATTCTAAAATGTGAAGACAACAACAACAACAACACCATACCACCAACATCAACATCAACACCAACAACACTATCCTGATCCCCGCCATGACACCATGACGACACCACCACCGTCAATGCACGCCCGCAGTCGACTCGCCTGCTGCAGCGCCACCTCGTCGAAAAACATATCCATCGCCTGCGCCGCCAGCAGGTTCTTCACCTCGAACTCCACCGAGAAGTCTATCACGGTCGTGTTGGGCGCGGTCCCGGGGCGGAACCTCCACGTGCTGTCTAGCGAGGAGAAGAGTCGCGAGTGCATCGCCTTCACGGCCACCTCCGATGGGGGTTTCGTGACTACCCGAGAGGTGTACTTCTCTGTGAACAACTTGGGGGAGGGCGGTGGGGGGG